AGGTTTTTGTCACAACCAAGTTTCCACGTTTTACTTGGTGGAGAACCATTCCCCTTAAATGATCTCAGGAGTTTTAAAAACCACAAATCTATCCTTTATAATATCTATGGTACTACAGAAGTCTCCTCGTGGGCCTCTTTGTTTAAAGTCAGTTCATTTGACAGAGATTGGATCAACAATGATATTCACTGCGAATGTTCGCCTCCTTTGCTTGGATCTACACCTCTTGGGTTTCCGATGCTAGGAACCAGTTTCTCACTAATACCATCCAATATGGAAAATGTTTGGGAATTGGGACTATCCCGTCAATATGGTGGGTTTTACATATTATGTCCCAAAGAGTCGACGATTACTATTCAGGAATTTTCCTACGCTCTTTCACAACTACATTCTCAGGTTACATGGCCTACTTCTGATTTAGTGCATTACGGTCAATGTGGGAGGTGTTTATGGTTTCTAGGTAGAAAAGACCGTACAATAAAACGGTTTGGATACCAAATTTGTCTAGAACGTTTAGAACATGTCATAAAAACATGCAAGCCACCAAGCCTCAAGATCAGAAACTGTAGATGTCAGGTTTTTGAAAGATCAACTAATCGAAACTCCATCATTTCATTCATTGAAATTGAACTTTATTCCCATAAATTTTCTAGAAGACCTTCAGTATTTCCAACTTACAGCTACACAAAAAACACTAAATCTCATATCCTTAAAAGACTAAAGTTGGTTTTTGCTCCGAACCATCAACCCTGGATTCCCACACATTTTGTATTTTCTAATCGCTCTCTACCGATTTCATTACATGGAAAGTTAATGTATAGACTACATAACGTTTTTAAATCTTCAATGTCCATCAAGTACAAAGTTATTGCCATGTGGAACGAGTCTCTTGGGTTAGGCAGAACGACTGTAACTCATTGGGATGCAACATTTATGGAGGCCGGTGGTTCCTCTTTAATGGCATTGCACCTAGTTGAAACAATAATCCACGAATTTCCAGTCTTGATCAATAAGAGGGAGAATCTTGTATCACTAATATTCGCGCATTCATTTTTCCGTGTTTTTGAGTTTATTTCAAGATGTTGCTCTATTTCTATGAAGTCCAAAACACGTTTTTCAAAATCCATTTCAACCAAAAAAGTTTATCAAAGCAAATTTGAAAATGAATTCCAAATGACTGTTAAACATAATTACCAACATCCATTTGATATTTACACACATGGTTCTGTATTGAAGCTGCCTGACTTGTTACCCCAAACCCAATTTAAATTTTTGTGGCAACATAATCTGCATAAGTGTGTAGACGCTTCGCCTTTAGTCCTTTCTGGTGTTCATGGGTTTTCCAATGGGTGTGCTTTCATCGGAAGTCACTCCGGTTCGGTTTCTGCTTTGTATGTATCGAATGGCCACACAGTATGGCCGAACGCAACAGTGTCACTACCAGGTCGTATCGAGGCCTCTTCCACACTTGGATTCGCAGGTTCAAGTGCTGTACTTGTTGTTGGGTCCTTAGATGGGAGTATTTATGGTTTGGATATTGAGTGTGGAACTTCTCTGTGCTCATATTACACTGGGGGCGCCGTTAAGTCTCCTGGATCGTATGTATATGATTACAGATTTCTAGCATGTGGTTCCCATGGCAAACTAGTTCACGCCATAGACTTACGTTCTCTGAACAATATGAAACCTATTTGGACTAATTCTTTTGATGGAACACCCATTGTTTCTCCTGTTATTGTGTCAGATATGTCTCAAACGAGCACACCATATCTTATTATTGCAAGTCTTGGAGGAACTGTTGGTTGTTTAGATCCTAGAAATCCATCACATTTGGTTTGGATAAGAGATGGGAAAATGCCTGTTTTTAGTAAACCTCTTCTATATATGGACTCTAGCTACAAGGTTAATGTTATTATAGCTGGAGTTAGTGGGACAATTCAATCATTTTCTCTGGTGGATGGAAATATTGATTGGAATTATGAATGTTCTCAAGAACTAAGTGGTCATGCAATATTTTCAGACCCCGTTCTTGATGCGCAGTCTCACAATGTTATTTTGAGTACTAATAAGGGCTTCTTATTCGCTTTGAACGTTGTAAATGGCAATTTAGCATGGATGCTTGACTGGACATTTGATTTAAACTCCAAAAACCTATGTTCCTTAAATACACCTTCTTTATTGCAAAGCGATAGACACAGTTTATTGATTGGAACAAGAGCAGATGGTTTGGTTTACGGGTGTTCAGTACCTTCGAGCCTATCTGTCCGACGAAAAGCTCCTGCTGTATGGTCGACTTACCACCTACCCAACCAGTGTTTCTCATCTCCAGTTCTTTATTCCGAAAACTCAAATGATGTATATATTATCACTGGATGTAGAGATAATTATGTTTACGGTTTATCGTTGTAAACTCTTTTTTTCTATTGTAGAAATCACATCACCCAAACAGTTTATACTTTCTATTTATAAATTATTTTCAGAATAAAGATGATAGTGGCTTTCTAGTTTTGAATGTTTAATACAATGCGGAACTCTTAGCGTACTCTATGACAACTATACATAAAATAAGTAGATAAAATTATATTCATTGAAATAAAATTAGTATAAATTATTATTAGGAAGTGATTTCTGTTTGCCTATAAGTTAGTTTCCTTAAGAGTACCAATCATGCTTTCATATCTCTCTGAAAAATAGCAACAAATAGATTTGTCGTTGTTCTAGATTAAATTTATGATTACGGCCATATATTTCCGAATTCATCGCCAAATCGTATCTAAGGTTAGGTGTATCATGAAAAATTATTCCTTTAAAATTCCATGCGAAATATAGAACTTATCTTGAGTTAGTGCAAACATCTCACAAACACTAACTACATCATAAATATATTCATTTACAACAATCTACCCAATACTCAATTTACTCAAAATTATCAAGTCAAACCTTGGTAATGATACATACTAACTACATCAGTTTTAATCTCGTTAAGATTTAATTTAAACTGATTAACACAAAAACGAGTTAATTGAACGAACTGGTAGTTAACCTCGTCAATCCCATTTTGATTAAAAATGGTGTACGGGGCTTTTCAAAAGTTAGATTGGTGAGATATCACTAACAATTTCTAGCTTAGCTGATATTCAAGAAAACATTGGTTGGTAGCACTTGTAAACAGTAGACCAAACAAACACAAACAATTCAGTCTAAGACGTCGATTATTCTAAGATATTTTCTATGCATACCGGTAGAATGATGGGTCTTGTTTACGCTTTGAAACCTAGAGTGCTCCAAGCTAGGTTTCTGATTTTAGACGTAAAATATACATTGACCTTTCAACTAAGTAGGAATTTAGCCATTAATTTTGGTTCCGTCTTAGGCTTCTGAGGCTGGATTATTTCCATAAGAGAAATTTGAATTTCTGTAGTGCTGGAAGTCCTATGACACGTATTTCCCATCACAATAGCTCATTGTTTATTTCAATGTGTTTGTCAATACAAAATTCTAGTTAGTGTCAACAATGTAGATAAGAAAGCTATTATCCCGATGTTTCTGAAACTCGGAAATCCGATATCAACCATCCGGAGTATTTTTAATTGAGATATTAGTTTTGTTCACTAGTCTGCTCTTAACAAGGCCTTTACTAGCTTCCGTGGCGTTTACCTCTCCATTTTATGATTTCTATATTCAATTACTGAACCAAAAAGCAAGAAAATTACTGTTTTTGATCTAGTAATTCGTGTACGCTTATGTCTGCTCTCACAGTAGGTCGAGATTTAAACACTACGCAACCCATGAATCTGTAAGCTTTTCTATAAGAATAATCCTTTTAAAGAGCTTGCAAATATCAAGGCTTTATCATAATCAATGTACGATCAAAGCTATATTAACAGGACTCCTCCGTACCAGTGATAACTAACTGTCAAATAATCATGTTTGATTTAGTTTCATGAGGAAATAAAGTATACAAATGTTGTGGTTACGCTAATCTGTTCGTTAGTTAATGGTCACGGACCTTCTATAATTGTTTAGATAAAATTGTAGTGTTGTTTTCAGCTAGTCTGGTTATTCAAATTCCTATCAAAGCCTTAAAGGATTAATCTACTAGCATTTACGTGACAGTTGTTCATACAGCTTTGCATCTGCATGGAAAAAGAATCTTAGTTATTTTGCCATTAACCTTCACAAAAGAGGTTTATATGCTAGTATGCAAACTTTAATGTTGTCTCTAGATTGAATAGTCAATTACGGGTATTAACTCTGGGACTCTTCGACAATTAGACCCTGAATGACATGGCTCAAAATCGTTTGCAATGGCGCAGGTGCATCCATTCTTTATGTTCTACCAAATTCTAATCTTCTGAATTTTTCATGTCCCTTTCTTTTTTCTCTTTCCAAATTTATTTCACTGGATTATACTCTTTGAATAACATCTTCAAACCCTAATCTTTCCGATTACTGCTTATACTCTTACCGCCTCTATCACTACGGGATTTAAATCGACAACTGCATCTCTGTACTAATGTGGTATGGCAACTTGAACTGATGTACGTACGTACGAAGTTCTACGTTGTTACTGACTGACTATTCGACAATATCTCTTACCGAAGAATCCTACTTAATAGAAGTGAGTGGCAAAACACTTGTATGGAGCTTTTGTGGCATTATTGAGTCTTTCGACCATACATAACCGATTGTTTTGATACGCTGTTCTTAACGTTCATCTAGAGCATTAAAGAATGGGGTCTGCGCTTTTATAGCCAAAAGCTCAGCTATTTTTCATGACTTCTAAACATGTAACAACGAGCTAAATTACACATACGACGGCTATATTTTAAAGTATTGGGTTAGTAACGCTCACCATACCATGATTAATGCATGAGTTAAAGGCATCATACAGATTTTATATGTTACGTCCATTACCTTTACAGCGGTTGGCGACGTCTTTCAGACACCATCTTGTAAAACTAAACAGTACTTCAGACTGCTCGGCTAAAATCCATAGTAGGGAAGAATATATACTGTATTTGATTGTAAGCTATTTTCAGTAACACTTCACAAACTTCTAAAAGCACAAGGATATTCATCAAAACATGATGTCATAACACACAAAGTAGGATATTTTTCTGTTCTAAATCGTGGTTGTCGTAGGTTTCAGTTGCTTTTTTTGTCTAGGTAAAATCGCAAACCACAGTACCCGCAAGTATGATTACCTGGTTGGTCCTAAAATAGTTAGAGAAACACAGTAAGCATTCCTAGAATTGAAATGAATCATATGTTATGGTGATAAAAACGTGAACGTTATTCTAGTTTCAGCATAACAACGAGTAGTATTTACTTTCGTACGGTGATCTAAGTAACGCAGATCGTCAATGAGTCATAAGCAAAACATAACCTGAGACATATGTTCGTCGGTGATCACATCGCACTAGTGCAGCAGTACAAAATTACAAAGACAAATGCCAGAGTAGTAGAATTAGTAACAATATCGATAGCAGACAGGACAAGATAGAGGGATGATTCGGAAATAATGAATATGTGAAATAAGAAGTATTGTGATGTGTGCTACTTATATCAACGTAAGTAGTATATGACGTTGGGAACAGAATGTCTGGCAGCACAAAGACAAGAGAGTCGAACAGTAAAGAATGGAAACAATGCAATTTGTACGAAAATGCAGGACCAATGAAGTTTGAGTCAATTTGAAACAACTGATGGACATTTTGCTAATTAAGCATTTACTGTATGATTGTTAGATCTCATTACCAAGTCCTGTAATTTTGTGTCAAATACATTCGATTGTCTCCACTGGTGTTCTGTTCACTATAGTATTACTTAGTTTCATAGATCAAAATCTAACGGAAGGCAAGAGTTGAATACGACTGTGCCATTGGAATCGATTTTGAGCGGTGTAGCACGTTTCCAACCATTAATTACGATAATCGCGAGAGCCCAAAACTGATATCCTGTACATACCAACACAGCCTAATCCGCTAGTCAACGGCTCTATGAACATTTAGAAGGGGGAAAACGCATCCCGAACATTCTGGCATTGTTGCTCAATTCTACCAAAAGACTGCATTTTATCAGCGTCTTCAACAAACAGAACAATGTCATCTGCGTATTCTAAGTCGATAAGTGGACCTCCTCGTAGGAGACCAATGCCTGAAAATTCAGACAATGAGAACGTTATTTCCATCAGTAGGTCGATGATGAAGTCAAACAAAAATGGAGAAAGTGGTCCGCCTTGTCGGACACCACTTGAGGTTGAGAAATCAGATTACAGTTCACCATAGGCTCTGACTCGAGTGGTAGCGTTCGAGTAAAGAGCCTTCACAAGGTTTATGTACTTCTGAGGTACGCCTTTCAATGACAAACACTGCCACAGGATCTCGCGGTCTACGGAATCAAATGCTGCTTTTAAGTCAAGGAAGACCACCATTGTCGGACGCCGATAAGTATGCCTGTGTTCTAGAACCTGACGAATGGTAAATATGTGGTCGACGCAGCCACGACCACGTCTGAATCTAGGCTGAGTTTCTCGTGTTTGCAGTTCACATGTCTTTGTGAGGCCCCCGATAATTATCAAGGACAGTAATTGAGATGCTACGTCAGTCAAACTAATCCCTCTATGGTTAGCACAGGATGGTTTTGACCCCTTTTTATATATCAGGACAATCAGTAATTGCGACCAGTCAGACGAAATTACGTCCAACTCCCAGGTCTTTTTGAAATATTGATCAACCTAATCGCTGAAGCTGGACCACCGTACTTGAAGACCTCTGGAGCCAATCCATCTGGACCAGCTGCTCTTCCTCGTTTCAGATTAACTATAGTTTTTTGAACTTCAATTAGAATCGAGGGTGCTACTTCAATGTTCCATTCAGACTATTTGGGAATGGTGGGTAGTCGTAGAGTAACTGAAAGCCTGTTAAAGTGCTCCGCCCATCGTTCTAAGCGTCTAGGCTCAGAGCAGATAAGTGTCGTCTTTTTCCGAAATTACTATGAAGGACAATCGGAAAGGGATCAAAGAAGCACTAAATTCAACGTAACAGGTTCTGGGCCGCAATAAGCATCGCCATGAGGTCTGCTATCGGTACTAGGAAATGCTTACAACAGAGGATTGCTGAACCTGGTGAAAGATTAAACAGAAACACAGATTCGAGATCAACAAACCGGATTCCGTAAGGATCAGTCGTGCACAGACGAAGTCGCGACACTATGGATCATTGCCGAGCAATTAATCTAATGATGTTCGACACTATACAACAACTTCCTTGACTATGAGAAGGCGTTTGACACATAGAAATTTCTTCGACACTATGGCATACCTGTTAAGATCGTGAAACATCATCCGAGATTCACAAGGTTGTATATGCAGGGCAGCTGACAGACACATTCCAATTGAGAACCGGAGTCAGACAAGGCGACTTAATCTCCTCCTTGCTCTTTCTTCTGGTTGTTGACTACATTATGAAGACCTCCACATCTGACGGGAAGCACAGAATACAATGGACAGCTTGGGATGAGCTAGACGATTTGGACTTCGCAGACGATCAGGCCCTTCTATCCGATACACACGAACAAATACAGGTCAAGACAAACAGTGTAGCCGAAGCCGCTGCATCAATAGACCTCAACATACACAAGGGGAAGGCAAAATCCTGAAATAAAACACGGAGAACACCAACCCAATCACACTTGATGGAGACACTTTGGAAGAGTTGGAAACCTTCACATACCTGGACAGCATCATCGATGAACAAGGAGGATCCGATGCAGACGTAAAGGCGAGAATTAACAAAGCGAGGGCCGCATTCCTACACTTGAAGAACATATGGAACTTAAAACAACTGTCAAAGTCAGAATCTTCAATACGAATGTCAAGACAGCTCTACTGTACGGAGCTGAAACTTCGATAGCTACCACAACCATCATCAAAATGGTACAAGTATTCACAAACAACTGTCTGTGCAAAATATTCCAGATCCGTTGGTCGAATACAATCAGCAACAGCCTACCGTGGGAAAAACAAACCAGCTTCGAACTGAAGAGGAAATTAGGAAAAACTCTGGAAGTGGATAGGGCATACATTGAGGAAAACATCAAACTGAATCGCGAAGCAAGCACCAACTTGAAATCCTGAAGGCTAAAGGAAAAGATAAAGGCCAAGGAACACACTGTGTCGGGAATCGGAAGCGGACATCAAAAGAATGAATAGCAACTGGAAAGGATTTCCCAGGATAGAGTTTGATAGAGAATACTGGTGGGTGGTCTATGCTTCTCCACGAGGGGTAACAGGTTTAAGTAAGTAGTATAGCCAAGTGATCACAGACTAAATGGTAAAACCAGACTAATTAGACGAGATATCCATGCAAATGCTTATTATGCAACCACACAGTTGATATTCACTTACCAAGTTGATGTATACTTTAGGATGCCCAAGTGCACCACCACCACCGTCGCAACTGATTATATTTTCTTCGCAAGCGATCGGGGTAACCTCTGCTATCAGCTTTTCTGCGAATTGCTTATTGACCTATTGCATGAGATAGACAAATTGTAATACATAGCAATGTGTCAAATTGAAAATCAAGGCAAGTAATAACGTTCGTCGAAGCAAGAAGTAGGGTGATCATTTATTTATTCGACTGAAGTGAACTTTATAGATAAATCTTTTGTAAACTCGTTTAAGCAGCCACTTCAAAAAGCTTTAAATTTAGCCTTAATAATACATTACCATAATCTTACTATCCACTTAGGAAATGAAAGAACTTGCCAATCCATGAGTGGTTGCCAGAAAAATGTCTTTAAACCATCTACGGAGCTTTATTCGATGAGTTTAGCCTTCGAGAAAACCCTATAGTAAGAGATATGAATGCTACCACTCAAAACTAGAGTGGGACTATTATCACTTGCTGCAACTGCGTTATAGATTCATCACTTTTGAACACTACATCATAAGTGCAGTCAACCATACAATACCATTAAGCAAAGAATAAGCGAGTGTCGAAGATTTCGAGCATTATGATGAGTCATACCAACCGTACCTCAAAAAAACCAACTTTTCGTGTCATCTAGTTGTCATATTTTATTTAATTTCGTCGTTTGCATTTGATTTAGCTCAATACCCTGATCTATTAATATTCCCTTCAGACCTGAGATTTTACCGAGCAATTTAATGTCCTCGTACCAACTTGAAGATCTACATAGTACTTGTTTTTCAACAGCGAACGCAAGCGCACGAAAAGCACAGCTTCTGACAGCCGAACCACGGCGATATGGACCTATTTCCGCAAGCAAGTAAGATCAAGCTGATAACCATGATTTGAAATAACTTAAAACGACCTGGATTTTTCGACATTTACAGGTATATATATATATAAACCACTTGTTATATTGCATTTCCGGCAGTAAACATAAGGATTCGGTCGTAAAAACAGCCGAAAACGGGGTGGTTTCACTTTAGAAACTTAAAAACGAAACCAGGCAGTGAAAAAGAGAAGAATCTTACCAACTTATCACCGATAGTAAATCTTGCAACTGATGGGTCATTTAGCGAGAACGTCTAATCATTAATAGATAAGTACGGATAAACATTAAACCTGGCCAGTGTGTGTTACTGCTGATGCACTTTCCGTACTGTATAATCTATATCTTAAGTAAACTGGAAGACGCAAGAATCTGACTGCACTAAGCGCCATAGCAAAAACGTTTAAACTTGACCGCGCTTCAAATGGTTCAAATGGTTGTGGACGGAATAGAAGAAGCTTTCGCTTAACAGGCTTCCGTATCTAGTAGCAGGGGATCACCAAATCCTCCAGGCAGGAACCTAGGTATGTTAACAATAAAAAGGAAAAGAAATTGGTAAACCATAATGTGATGCTGTCCTTGGTCCTTAAGAATAGGTCAAGTTGCCTCTTGAAGGACTCCTGAGAAATCGCTTGGACTAGCTCGGCCGGCAGCGAATTCCAGCTTTTGACAACTCTTAAGGAGTAGAAGTTGTGTCTACATTCCGTCTTGCTATGTTGTGTTTCCAGTTTCTGGGTGCTACCCCTTAGGTTATTATTCGAACTAAGCTTAAGTAGGTGTTTAAGAGGATGTCCAGAAGTGTTAAGAATACTATAAGCCATTAGTAAATCACCTCTAAGACGCCTATATTCTAGTGGGTAAAGGTCTAGTGAACGGAGGCGTTCTTCGTAAGGCTTAGATTTGAGTCCTCGAACTGATTTCGTGGCTCGCCGTTGGATACGCTCCAGAGTGTCCTTATCATTTTGGAGTGAGGGAGGAAATACTATGTTTCTGTACTCTAAATGGGGACGGATAAAACTATTGAAGATTATATGGAAATTTCTTTCATCAAACTGGCCAAAAATGCGCTTCAACGTTACCAGTGCAAGGTTTGCTCGGAAGGCATTTTTGTCACAGTTAGCGTAAGACTTTAAGTCATGGGGCACCAGGACTCCTAAATCTTTTTCGACTTGGGATACTACTAGAGACGAGTTTCCTAAGTTGTAACTGTAGTTTGCGACATGTCGCAGATGGACTACTTTACACTTTGAAGTGTTAAAGGTAAGTCCGTTATCGTCTGCCCAACTTTGAAGTCACGTCAGATCCTCCTGAAGTGCCTGTGTATCGTCTTGGTTGCGTATCTCTCTCCAAAGTTTCACGTCGTCGGCAAAAAGTAATAAGTCTGACGTTACCTGTTGAGGAAGATCATTTATGTAGATCAAGAAGAGAAAAGGCCCTAGTACTGAGCCCTGGGGGACCCCACTAGGACATTCCATAGCCTGAGATAAAGTGAAATTAACCCTAACCTTAAAGTGTCGATTTTTTAGGTATGAAGTAAGCCAATCGATTAGAGGTGGTTTGATACCTAGTCGTTTGAGCTTATTGGTAAGACACAAGTGGTTAACCATATCAAAAGCTTTTGAGAAATCAAGGTAAATGACGTTAACCTTTCCCTTGCGATCGAGGATGCTTGTCCATTTGTCCACCGCAGTCAGCAGGTTGGTTATACAAGAGTAACATTTCCTGAAACCATGCTGTTGGTGTGAGAATAAATTTAAGGACAGTAGATAGTCATTTAAACCGTCGCATATCAGGGACTCCATGAGTTTTGAAGGTAATGACAGAAGAGCCACCGGCAGATAACTTGAAGGTTCATTGCATCGACCACCTTTGAAAATTGGTGTGATGTGAGCCAACTTCCAGTTTTCCGGTAATTTGCCTCGGCTAAGCGAGTGTGAAAACATCACGCTAAGCGGCGTTGCCAGGATTGAGGCTGCCTCCCTCAGTATGGCAGGATGAACCATATCCGGGCCAGGAGAAGTGTCAAGTCTTAAGTGCTGCAATTTCCGGAACACCAAGTCAGCGCTTAGGTCCACTTCAGAAAGTCCTGTGGAGTTGGAGATGAAACTGTCGTCAATAAAGTTGATGTCGGCCGGTTGAAATGTTTGAGAGTAATGGGCCGCCAGAAGGTTAGCGGCGTCGCCATCGTTGTTGGTCGGGCCGTTAAGACCTAGCAGTTGAGAAACTCCTGTTTTGGCTTGACGAAGAGAGGCTGCATAACGGAATAGGCTTCTAGGGTTAGAGGCGAATTTGTCCATAAGCTTTGTTTGGTACTGAAGCCTGTCTTCTCTTATAGCCTTCGTGAATGTGTTCCTGATATGTTTGTATTGCCTATACGCTCCATCGTTATTAGTTCGTTTGTATTCCGCCCAACAGTGCCGTTTGCGGCTTAGCAGGCGAAGGGTACGGTTCTTGATTACTGTAGGTGGCTTGAAGCTTTTGGGAACCGTTTGAGGAACTGAATGGTTTGTAGCACATAAGAGCGTGTGCAGTAAGAAGTCCCAATGACCATCCACATCGATTTGAGGGTGAACATCCCAAACCACCTGTTGTAGATAGTCATGTAGAGCTGACACATTCAGCCGTTTAAAATTCCAACGCAAATTATTGTTGGGATACCTTAGCTTAGATTTGATGACAAAACTGAAGGCTATGACGGCATGATCGCATTTTCCCAGAGGAGCCAGGATTGAGAGGTTGTCGACTAGGAATTCTTCGTTAGTGAATACACAGTCTAAGCGCGATGGTGTCTGACTGTTTATCCAACGAGTTGCCGACCTCACATTTTCATATAAGCCCAAGTTATCGATGAGGTTGAAGAACCGAGCTTCAGTTGAGTTGTCGCCTCCAGTGTACGTGTGTTCCGCGAAGTTGACTCTAGGGAGATTAAAGTCCCCTAGAATCAGGATGTATGTGAAACCGAGACGGATAGAGCGGGATAGTCCTTCCAGCATACGACTATCGTACTCGGTGTCGGCAGTTGGCTTCTTGTAAATGACTCCGACTAGACACCTGGAAGTACTAGACAATCTTACAGAGCACCATATGGATTCCTCAAGATTGTTAAACTCGAGGTTGTGAACCTGGTGCACCTCCAAGCAAGAGCTTATGTATATGGCTACTCCGCCCCCAATTCCTGTTTTTCTTTCGTTGCGGAACAAGGTCATCCCAGGTAATGCTAACTCTTGGTCTGAGAACTGAGAAGATATCCAGGTTTCAGATATTCCTATCAGATGGGCCTTATTAGCTTTGCTAAGTTCACGTAGTTCATCCAGTTTGTTTGGTAGACTCGCGGCGTTCATGTATAAGCAGTTTATGCTTTCAATTTGGAACGCGTGAGCTTCGTCCTGTTTTTCTGTATGAACCTTATGTGAATGGACAGATATCCCACCTATGTGAGGTTGACCGAGGTGGTAGGCCCTGTCCTTTACACGTTTTTTTATCGTTTAGACAGTCCCCAAGTGGAATGGTCAGCTCCAACTTGCCTTTGTTCTTGGTCCTAACTTCGTATGGCCTATCCGGGTGCATGTGGATTCCAGATGGCAATCGACGTCTATTAGCACGAAATGCTTCCAGAACTGCAGCCGCCTTGTGGGAAGATGGGAAGGTTATCTTCATTAGACGGGATCTAAGATCACCGTCCTTCTTGGCTAGTCTCGTCACATGCTGAGTCAGTATGTATTTGAGCCTTAAGGACTGTTTGATGAATTTCCATTCCCTGATGTCAGAATTTGATTGAGTAGGGTCTGCATTTTCCGGTATACCTTGGACAGTTATGTTTCTTCCGCGGAAAAACTTCTCGCGAAATTCTTTAGGGACGTTTCGTATGATACTGCGCTCAGAGTACGGTATGTCGGGCAGCATTCTTACGTTACCATCTGATTTCAGCAAGTGGCTTGCTAGCAAGACGTCCTCTACGTTGGTAGCATCCTTAAGTGTTACTCGGAGAAGCCTCGGGTGATTTAGATGCTTAGAATCCTTTCCTCGAGTGAGCCGGGAGACCGTCAAAGGCTCTATTCTAGGAAGTTCGAGCTTCTTGTTCAAGTCACCCTTATGTTACGACCTAGTACGCTGCAAATGATATCAGGCATCCTGTAATTGGAGGGCTTAAGGTTGCTTGCATGCGTTTATGTTGGCATAGTTCTTCTGTGTTTGTATCTTAACGTAGTCTGTTGATGTTGTTAACAACATCATATACTAAATTCTTATACAATATTTAGTATTAGTTGCTACTATGCAACAGTTTCTGCAAAATATCGGTTGAATAATATTGTTGGACAGTTTATTATATCCGGGTAAGCAAATTATCCTACTAAATAACCATACACGATTCTACGGATTGATAATCTGTGTAACATATTGTTCCGTTCAAAGTAGATGACTGACATTTAGTTAGTTTGAAGTCATCTTCCATTAATGTCGCTAGTACCTTATGCAATGCGGTTAATGAAGTTGCTTCACAATAATCGATTTTTTGTTTTGCTTTCTATTAACGCAGCCCTATTTATTGTGCTTCAAGTTCCAGAAATCCGTCGGTCGACCCGAATGATGCATTTGGGCATATCATGCTGAACACACGGTTTGTGAGCTTAGCGTAATTCAGAACAGCGTCAAATGATGTTCAGCACGTAGTAGAAACATGATCTTATATGTTTTAGACTACCTATAGACACTATGTACATATAGGGAGTTGCTCGTTAAGTGAAACTGAACTCAATTATTCATCTGTTGTTTTCAAGTGTACGTACGGTAAAAACGTAAACTACTAGGTCTAGGGGTAATTGAGAAACTATGAGGAATGTATATGCGAAGTGACGTTTTCGGTCTAAGTCTATGAAATGTCAGTCAACACTGTGTTATTCTACAACAATGATGAAGTCATCCCGGATGAAACAATCGTCGTTGTGAAAATTTCTGGATGGGTTGTGGTTCATAGATGAGGTAACTGGCTTCATAGGCTAAGGGAAATCTCGAGCCAGTACTGTAGCGTCAGTCACTATGCGAAGCTCACATAACTTATTCTAGCATCCGTACAGACCACTTTATCCATTCTTCTTGAGCCACATTTTGACCTTGGTAATCATTCACGTACCAACACTGACTGTTTTTATATGAACATATATGTGTGTATATCTTATCCTACTCATCGCATGTCCGTGGCTTATTTTTGTGTGACTATAAATATTGATTAACGCTTGATTAAATCGACTTCGCTTAAATGCCTTCTCCACTGCTCATCACTTCGCTTCATTCACTTTTCTTCGGTTCTTTCGCTCCGTTTTCCTGATTGTCTGTTCAGGTCAAGAATTGAATGGAATATACGCATCGAAACTTCATTCTCGTATTTGGCTTATTTAATTCCGTTATTCACTAACACTAGTTCTACTC